TGCTCAGTGCTGTCCGGCACCATGAAAGGCCTACGTTTGCATTGCAAGGACCTCGCACTCAGAAAGTGGTGCGGACATGCCAGAACTGGGCTCCTCCGCCGTGCATCCGCAATGCTTCGGCGCTCGCTTTCTTGCATCGCAAAGCTTCCTCCAGCATGTCAATGCACGAAGCATGGTAATTGCCTCGCCACCCAGCTGTCGCTTGTACAGCCTTGCAACAGAGTCTTCAAGGAAGCAAGCTGGAGACGGAACTTAGCTCACTTCAGAATGTCGGCAGTTAAAGTTCGTGCTGCATGCTGCTGGCCACTGCCTAAGAGATGTGGGTTTCTTTTGACTATTTTCCCGAGGAAGCTGAAGCAACATGTCTAAAGGTATCTCATTGCCAGGGCACGGTCGCCCTTTGCAAACCCCAAAGGCCGGCAGCAGTGGCCGGCTCCCATAGCAGACCTTCATGCTGGCAACCTGCAGAATTTTGCCAAGGGCGCAAAAGGGCAACCATCGACACCACGTGGTGAGCGAGGGTAAGCGGCACCCTGCAGTGCCTGCATTCCGCTCGCAGATGTCATCGACAACTCACTTGAGTGGGCTGATCTGCGCCGTCTTCTCGGTCCTCATCCCTTGATGTCTTTGGGCATGAAGCATGCAGGACTTGAGATTCCTGAGAGGAGCTCGCGAGACGTCTTGATCTGCTGTTGAGATCCCAGCAGGCGACGGGAGGTCAGATTGCGCGTTCCGGCGCCTTCCTCTCGAAAGATAGGTCAGCTTGAGGTCGGTGCTTTGGGACGGGCTCTTCTTCTTGGTGACCCTGTCTACATGCAGCGCCAGGAGTCCCAGAAGGGGCTTTAGAAGGGTTTAGGTCGGTTGCAGCACTGGGCCCCCGTTTTTGGAAGCTCTCAAGTCCAATCTGTCGGATCATGGGGGCCCAGCATTCTGCTAAGCTCTCGGGAGGAATGAGCCATGACATGTTTCTGCATACTCCGGACGCGTCCCTGATGCGTTTCTTGCAGGAGGTTTGCAGCTCCGGCCCAGGCCTGCCTGCCCTGCCTGCCCTGCCTGCCCTTGGCGCCTCTTGCGCTGAGATGCACTTGCTGTGGCGAAGCATCCAAGGTCCGCGGGTGCTTCGGCCTCAGAGGAACTCAACTGGAGGTAGCTGACCTTTTTCTCTCAGACGAGGGCCGGACCTCGGGGCGAGGATGATGAGCTTCAGCACACAGCCTTGTGACCTGGCGCCGAAGCAGCAGCAAGGCCGTCAGATGCATGCCGAAGGCCCACTTCTTCCTGAGGCTTCGCCGCCTCGCCCCTCCAAGCTCCGAGGAGAGGTCATGGCTTGGCAGCTTCAAGCGCCCTCCCGAAGCCAGGATGGCTTCGCGAACTTGCCGGTGACTGCGTAGTGTCCGTATTTTGCGACACAGCACTCAGTGGCTAAGCGAAGCTGCCCGGCCAGAGTTTCGAGAAGAGCATAGACAGCAGTGCTGCAGCTCCCGACGATCTTCATGAGTTCGAGGCCTTTCTCTCGTGGGAAGCCCCTTGCATGGAGATCTGTATTTTTATTTAAAATTTGTGGTTGAAATGACCCGATAAGCATCGATTCGCCATTGAGGCTGAAGAGCTGAAGGCCGCCCGGCAGTGAAGGCGCGGGCGCAGAAAGGTTTGTCTTAGGCATGGCAATCCATAGTTTTCAGTCTCTCGCCGACAAGTGGGAGATCGGACTAAAATTCTAGATCGAGAGAACACTCAAGCCACAACCCCCATCCAGGGGGAAGTTATGCAGGCTTAAGATGCAGGGAGCCTTGCTGACCCCAGCCTGAAGACCAGTAGCTCAGGCAGCCTTACACGGTTGTCGCTGCCGCTCGGATGGGATTGGCTTTCGGCTCCGATCTGGATGGTTCCGGTGCTTCTGAAATTGCAGAGTGCAGACTTCAGGATTCTGTCTTGAGGGTCTGGCAGTGTGGGCTACGGCGCGAGTTTCTTTTGCAGGTGGTGGGCATCAGGATCGCGAGAGTCCCGTCTTGAGAGATGTCTGGGGTGAAGCCGGTGACGAGCCCGAGGGATGGACAAGGGTCGTGCAATGGCGAACCCAGCGTTCTTGCAGCTTTCCACCTCCCCCAGCAACAGGAGCAAGAACTCGAGTGGCAGACGGAATCGACCAAGTACTTGTTGTGCCGATGGCACCTCTCGGACCTGTCGTCCAGGCTGGCGCCTTCGATAGAACTCCGACCCGGGCCTCGAGTGCTGGAGCGAGCCATCGCGGCGCTGTCCTGAGGAGTGAGGTGTTCGGTTCAGATTCACGTATGCCTGATGGCGGATGATTTGGATTCGGGCATAGATACGGCCGTGCTTGACGACATCGTTGAGGTCTGGCTGCAGTCTTGCAAGCACTCTGCGGCCTTACTTCGCAGGCTTTGTGTTGTGTCGGCTGTCAAAGATAGCCCTGTTGGCACTTGAAGTCTCTTCACAAATGCTAGTTGGGATGAGACTTTGGAAGCCCTTTTTACTCTTGGCTCCGCCTGGATGTGTCAACTTGCCATTCTTCCATGCATCTGTGAGCAGAGCAAATTTAAGGCTGTCCATACATGTCAGAGTTGGTTTCCCAACACCGTTCCGAGCGGCGCTTTTGTTCGGTTGGCACATGGGTGGGCGCCTGGACCCCCGAAGGGATGCAAACTGAAGATTTGCCACGAACCGGTACGATGGCAACAGATGATTGCACTTAGGCGGTGGCTTGCTTCCAGGAGGTTGTCGGCGTGTGGCGATGTCAGTGGGCAGGCATGGCCAAGATTCACAACCTAAACTCCAGAGTAGCTTTTTGCAGCAAGCAGTCAATCAACTGGCTTCGCAACAGGATGCATGGGCTTCCCGTCCCAGCCTTGCAGGCTCGTAGCCTTGTGGCTTTGACAGCGACCTGCGGGCGAATCGCGAGCTTCCGGCTGCTCAGCTTGAAAGGCACAGGGAGCATGGAGTCAGCCGTTTGGGGGTTTCCTAAGCACAATGCAGGGCTTCGCCTCTTTCCGACTCGGCACCAAGGGAACCGAGGGCTCCGTCAGGGAGGCCGTCAGGCTGCGGTATGCAAAGGGAGCTTTTGTTGCCTTTTTGAGGCTTAGGCTTAGGGGTTTCCCGACCGACAGCCCGTTTAGAGTTTATAGGGCTTTTAAATTCTGTGGGGTCTGGGGCATGTTCTTCTGGAAGCGTTTAGAACTTACTATTTTTCACTTTTCATCTTTCCTTGGATCTGTTTCCTTGCAGGGTTCAGGGTTTCCCTTTGGGGTTTAGTGCTGGAGGCCTGCAGTTTCAGCAGGATGCGGCCGGGTCGGTCGGTTTTCCGACACCAACGGCCTTTTAGGGTTTAGCAACCAGCAAGAACCGTTGTTTTTGGGTTTGGAGTTTGATAACCAAAGGCTTTGGTTTTGTTGGTTGGGCGGGGGGGGTTGGGATTGCCAACCAACATGTCTTTTTTGGGTGTTCACTTTTTTCTTATCTTCGGTCGCGAACCATGGTATTTGCAAACCATCATCTTCATTCGGGGGATTTGTTTCCTTGCAGGGTTCAGCGGCCAGATCGGTCTTTAGGGTTTAGGGTTTCCTGATGTGACTAGGGCGTAGGGTTTGCCGATCAACAGCCTTCTCGGGCCGCGGGATTAGGCACCAGCAACAACCGCTTTTTTCGGGATTCCTTGTAGTGTTTACCGCCCCGCACTCCTGCCCCTGCCTGCCCCTGTGCTGCCCTAATGTGCGCCAACCAACATCTTGTTTTAGGGTTTCGCACTTGGTAGCGAAACCGTCATGCAGTGGTCAAGGACTCTTTTGTGCAACCATGGGTTACCCACCAACATTTTTTCATGATTTGCATCCTACCATTGGTTGGCAGGTTATTTTTGGCAACCTCTCTCAGCATTGCTGCCAGTGTTGGCATCCATTCCTGCTTTGGAAGGGTTCGCGAGGGCTACCCGGGCACTCATCATCTCAGATTCGGGCATGGGGTTGTAGGGAACCAGTATCCCCTTGTGGGGTTCAGGGTTGCGTGCTATCTTCCTTAGAGCTTGAAGATTGGACACCCCTAATATGTCCTGGACTCTCCTTTTTTCGCCTTCGGTTTTCCACGTTATCATCCCGGATTCGGGTGTTAAGCTCTTGTGGACCAGCCACACCCTTTGCAGTTCGGGTTTGGCCACCCGTCATCTTCTGTAGCCGTCTCTTGAGTTTGTGTTCCAGCCTCTACTATTTTTGTTGGACACCGACTTTGGGGTTGAGGATCCGATCATCGGGCTGTGCGGGGACCGGTCGCACTTCCCAACGTACCCTCTGTAGGGCCTTGGCGAATCGTGGGTTTAAAGGTTTTTGGAAACCAGTCAGGCCCTTCAGAGGTAGGGATTTCACGGTTCACGGGTTTGCTATCCCCAAAACGTGTTGGGCTTCTTTGCAGGGTTTGGGCCTTTAGGACTTTAGGGTTTGGGCTCTGGGGAACCGAGGGTTTATGAGCCAAACCCTGCCAGAGCCTCGTCCTCGGAGTGCTCCGCAGAGAGCCAAGGCTGAGAGGGCTTGATCGAACACGAGGCAGGGCAGCAGGGCTGGGGCTCAGGCGTCAAGAGCAAGTATCGTTCGGGTCGTCATGTACAACCTTAGACAAAGTGGAGCTCAAGAAATCTTGGTGTCGCTGCTTATGCTTCGAGGCCTTTGATGAAGGGGCAGAGGGCACCTGTCCATTTCCGATTGTCTCAGTGGGGGCTGCCGGTTGCTGCCTTCGATCTCATGGAGCAGCATTTGGTTCGGCGTATGGCATTAAAGCAGAAGAGACGTGAAGAACGGTCCCGTCGTCTTGATGGTTCAACTGAGTGACAGCACGTTTTTGCGGACCTATCAGTCCAACCTCGAGAAGACCCAGATCAGTCGTTGCAAACATTGCGGTAGCTGAAGGATCAGGGCAAAGTGCGCTGCAGCCCCTGCTCAAAAAAAGTCAATTCAAACTTCGGACGGACACGCAGGCTGCACAGCTCGCCGGTGGAGGTCTCGTGCTCTGGCCTCCGCGACTCGAGGTGGGGTTTTGGGGTTTTGGCACATTCGAAGTCATGGGCTTTGAACCTCGGTGCAGCGACAGTGCATGCCTTAATCAGCAAGGTCCGATTACGTTGGGTTTGTTGCACGAAAGTGTGTTGCCCTAGACCGAATGCCGTGCTGCTGGCATACGGAGCCCCAATCTTTGCCTCAAGCAACATTCTGGCGAGGAATGCAGAACCTGTTCCAGTTGGAGGACACTCTGTACAAGGTGCGAGTCCTACTGCGCGAACTTCTTGATCATGCAGGAGCGGCTGGGGAGACGGCACAGTCTTGGAAAGTCAATCATCATTTCTGCTGTGCTTCAGCCGCAGTTTCCCAGTTTACTTGTTCCTGTTGCTTTTGAGGAGTGGCGCTTTGCGACTGTATGAATGCGTTCGCCACACCTTTCGCATCACATAGGCATGCTCCCATTGTAGCTGTTTGTATGCATGGCATCCAATACTCCGCTAGTTTTGCTCGCCTTCTACTCTTGGATCCAGGCCGTCCCAGCGCTTAAGCATGCCTTGCCCATCGCCCCAGCCCTGCAATGCTCTCCAGGATTGGCTGCAGTGTGCCGTCCGCGCGGGGAGGTGGCAAAGAGCCACGAGCCAACTGCTTGAACAAGTCGTGCAACTTAAGGGCGAAACCACTTCTGAGCCTCTGAGGTTTGAAGACCCACGCTCACCACGCTCCCGCGAGCAGCAGGAGGAATGGGCAAGGGGTGCGTCCGCAGAGAAGCATATTCGGCTCGTTCGGAAGATGAAGGTCAGACGGTCCAGTCTTCACATCCCAACGTGACATGTGGAGCTGAATGCTTGTCTGCCTGTCCACGCTTAGGCTTAGACCATGATGTTGACATGAACGACCCCCATCCCTAAATGAGCCTCGAATCCGTGTAGGGCCAAAGGACAAAGGCAGGGAGGGCAACTCAAAGGCAGACCGACGGAGATGGAGAAGGGGTTGGGAGACAGCGAGAGAAGAAGCAACAGTTGGTATACCGGCAATTGAGTGACAGCAGCTGCTGTCGCACTTTTCGAGTGGCTTCGAAAAGTTTAGTGAGGGGCAGGGCGGTAGGTTTTCTCAATCTGCCAGGAAGGACGTGAGCTTTTGAGCTCGAAAATTGCGGGGTGAGGGTACTTCCGCGCTGCGCTTGACAGGAGACCAGAAGCTCGCGCAGGCGCCCGTTTTTATTGACTCGCCGAAGACGACCTTCACTTCACAGGCCAGTGCGTAGTTGCCGTAAATGACTGGTCTAATATGTGCTCGCTTCTCCAATCCAGTTCATGTCGCAGCTGCTTAATCCCAACTTTCAGTGTACTCCTCGCGAAAACTGAAATCAAAAGAGAATCTGTCACCCGCTACTCTGCGAAGGCACGCGCTGGCGGCTTCCTTCTCTGCGTACGAGTTGCCAACCTGGAGGCTTTCGGCTTTCGGCTTGGGGTTCGGGCTTTGACTGGTCCCTGCGTCAGGACCTGTCGCACTTCGGCCTACTGCTCGAGCTTTAGCCCTTCGGCCTCCTTCGGCTTTAGGCCTCCGCAGGGCCGTTTTTCTTTTTTGCCGAGGAGTCTTTGGCCTGTGATGGTGCTGGCCAGCCTGGGGCCAGTGAACTTGCACCTTAGTTGCGTTGAGATCTGCAAAGGTAGGCCAGCTAGGCTGTTGCTGTTCGACCGACTGCTGGCAGACGCAGGCTTGCAGACCGACTCGACGTCGCGTCTGTTCTGGGTTGTGGCTCCGAAGGACCGCAGCGCCAAGCATGAGACAGGCTCCGCCTCACTTCCGGACAGGAGCCGTTGACCTTCCGACACCTGGAAGCTCGAGAGCAGCACAGCCTGGAGGATCCACCGGCGGCGCACCCTCGCAGGCCCGTGGAAGGTTAGAGTTGATCCAGTTTAGCTTCAACACAACTTGGTATTTTGACGCCCTGAGCCTTTCTACCCACAAGTACTCAAGTGCTTCGTAGTCTAGGTAGTTTCAGTTGGACAGCTTGGAACCCGACGCCCTGAGCTTTTAACTCCTCATCCCGAAAATCGAAATGGGATCTCGGATGAGGTGTCGGCACGATGGCTGAGCTGTCACGCTGCATCCCGCACCAAGGTGGCTTCCTGTCTTGTTCTTTGGCCTAAAGGCATTCAGTGAGCAGGGGGCCCATCTCGCCAAGATCTCCTTCAGATCACGAAGCTCGCTCAGTCAGGATCCTGCGTGTGAAGTCTTAACTCCCTGCACACATATCCACAGCAGACGTTCATGCCCGGGCTTGATGGTATCGAAGCTTCATCTTGCGTGCTTGCCGCCAGTGGACATCGCTGCCCTGTCGATGTTGCTGTGGGTATTGTACCTGCAAAGGTGCTCAGGAGCGGAGGAGTTGTGGCTGATTCGGCTCGGTTGTTGCCTCTGCAGCTTCTCCAAGCTTGGGTCCTGGTTTACAGTGTGCTACAGGGGAGATCAGCGGGCTGCAAGGAGTACTGCTCATACCTGTCGACCCGTTGGCGGAAGGGAGCCATCATGCACAAAGCAGCGGCTGTCTTTCAGACTTCGCGGCAACTTGTGCCGTTGATGCGTCGTCACTCTGATGACCTGCCATGCTGCAGCGAAGAGCGCGTCTACTGCGGTGACGCACTGCCAAGGCAAAACTTCCCGAAACAGGCACGAAGTCGTGGCGATTCGAGGGTAGTAGCTGGCGTTGTCGCGTCTTTCAAACGGGAAAATGTGCTGACCAGCTATGACCAGATGCACGAGAAGTCCGTGAGTTGCTCATGACACGTGTGGTGCTTGTCGTTGTGGTTCTGAAGGGTTCCAGGAGGCGTCAGAAACGGACTTGACACCTGCGAGGAAGAGATGTGA